CACGTATTTACTCCTGTTAGAATAATGTAACCTCAGGTGGAATAAGGTGTAGGAAGTGAACACCAATTCAAAAAAAGACCAACCCTCTTCCCCCCACCTTTATCATTAAGGAGGACCAACGAAGAGGGGGTAATAAACAAGGGTCTAGGCAAGGGGTCTCAGCGGGGCCCGATGCCAGGAGTGACTGTGCCGGCTGATTGCCGGCAGTAAGCGTCTGCTCATCTCTGCTTTGTCAGTCTTTAAATAGTTAAATTCAGTAGGTGAAAAATGTGCTGCACAAGGACACTGCTTCAGATATTGCTGTTATGCAAAACGACGTAGTCAGGTGTTATCCGTTTAAAGCACAGTGGTCATTATATGTACCACCGGCTTTAACATACTAAAACTCTATATTTTGCCAACAGAGAGCGCATTTGTGCGTTTCGTACGCTTTACAAAATACGTGGATGAATTTAAAGCTTCAGAGGGTCAAGTTAACAATTCATTTACAAGATGCCTGGGCCATTTGGGGTATTAATGATATTAAGTGAGGAGTTTAAGGTACCAGGCTGTGTTAAAAGATCCTGTTTTCATAATATGTGCTGGGGTTGTGAACTTGTGTTCCATAAAACTGAAATTTCTTAACCGGTGAATAATTAGATTGGCAGCCTCTGTACTCTCTGCCTCTCCAGAATCTCTGGTATAGAGTTCTGTTAATTCAACATCTCTATGTATACAAAACATTGACGCGAAACTCCGGTAGTTTTCGAAGATATTCACGTTACGGAATTCGATTAGTCGCTGGCTTCCCACCGCGGCGACCCGGGTTCGATCCCGGGTCTGGTCAAGTGGGATTTGTGGTGGAGAAAGTGGCTCTGGGGCAGGTTTTCTCCGAGTACTTTGGTTTCCCCTGCCAATCTTCAGTCCACCAACTGCTCCACAACCACCCTCACCTATCATCTGGGGCTGGTACAATAGGCCAGAAGTGGCCGCAGTACAAGGGACTTAGTCCCACCCCACTAGCAATAAAAAAATAATACGGAATTCATTCGTCCTGCCCGCTACGTATATTTACGTTTTTCGGCTTATCAGTTCCGTTTGCCTTTGCAGTGGATAAGGCGAGGAAATGCGTTTCCCACACTGTGCAGCGTATGGCATTCCTATGTATGAGTATACCGCATTGACCTTGATTATAATTTTTTGGAAATAGAAATTCCGTGTTGCTATGATAATCACATTGTAACCACTAATTTAGTCTTTCGTGTTAGTTCTTTGTTTTATTCTGCTCTTGGGTTTTTGCCCGGTGTGAATGTGGACAGTGTTGCTGGCGTTTCGAGGGCACATGCTGTCTCTGTCGTCAGGTAAGAAGGCAATAATTGTACGTGTATTTATAGAATTTTGGTTGCGGGGAAAGGATAGTGTCTGGTGTCAAACTCGGGCCGACGGGGTACAAGGAAATGTCATATCTCTTCACCCTCCGTTGCCCCTGTTTGCCCTTTACGGCACACTAGCCCCAGCCCTACCTTCATGCCCATTTTGAAACAAAATCTTATATATAGAAAAACACTCACCCACCCTACTCGTTTCAAAGCTGAAAACGGAAGCAACATGTTCCTCCGAAACGTCGGTAACGCACTCTAAATGCACACAGTGCAAAGACCTAACCATCACACCACACGAAGGCTCAAATTATTTATTCACGTGTGTTCTCAAATGTTAACGATGTTAGCAAATGTTTCGGATAGAAGATTTTTGAGTTTATCGTTTGTACAATGTTTTGAAACGTAAAAAAAAGTAACGTTCCTGTTCATAACCAATTGAGCATTACGCCATGAAGACGAAAGGGGAGAGTGGATGTATAGACCCACGAATTTGGAAAAAGTAAAATTGTTCCTGTGTGTAACTAATAGAGCATTACGCCATGAGGACTTATGGGGCAGTGGGTGTATAGATCCACGTATTCTTAACCTCGGCACTAGTTAGAGCTAGTCACCTTCACGCCCCGGCTTCTTTACCTTCGGTACCCATTGTATAGGAAGCTGGTTGGGCCCAACAGCCTGTCTGATTTAAAGAAAATGGTAGTTTAATTTAAAGTATGTGTCAAGTAGATTCACCCCATAAAGTAAGGTAAAGGTATCCCTGTAACAGGCCGTGGAGGCCCATAGGGTTTTGAGATGTTGAGGTTCCCACATTTTCTGGGAAATCGGCTCATAGATGGCTGTAAGTCAGCCTTACGCGCCGGCCGCCCTTCACCCCCAAGAATATTCCTGGTACTCATCTCTCTTAGAGGCTGAGTCGACCCCAGGGACATAGTGCGGCCGGAAGGATTAGGTAAATTGAAAAAAAGCCAATGACCTCATCGGGTCTTGAACCCGCGACCTTCCTGCTTGTAGCAAGGTGCCTCAAACAACTACGCGACCGCGTACCCCAGATTCACCCCATAGTGTTTATAATGTAGAATTTCCAGTACTAAATTTTATGGAAGTAATATGAGAGCAGAAATCTTTTATTTCATGTATTTCGTACATAGAACTCGTGAGAATCACTCAGGGAGTGTACTGTATCTTAATTTGAAGTCACCGAGAACCAGCACTTGGCGATTATTTATTTATTTTCGAGGAAATTTAAATAAAGAAACTCATGCAATTGGTAGCTTCAGGATTCTCGTTCAAGTGTGTGTTTACATGATGTCATTTCCATTCTACGCCGTTATGCTTTACTTGAGCAGTAGAAATTATGTTGGCAGCTGGAACCGCCGCGCACCCGTATGTATTTTTTTTTAATTTACCGTAAGATACCCACCCCTTTAAACACACGTGCGACTGCAGTAGACTGAACCTTCATGATTACAAGCAAAAAATACGAATATGACCTGCCTTAACGCTACGTAAAGGACGCGGTCAGAGATTCTACAAAATTTCTTTATTTAGATGTTTAAACATAAATTTGAAAGAATAATTTGACTTTATCTTAAAAAAAAAATACAAATTTCCGAACTGCTTCTCAAATGTATGACATTGTGTTTCATTAAATTTATTTAAAAGAGTTCTTATGCGCCGAAAATAATATGTGGACGCGGAAACATTGATTTGGCCATAACGGTTATCATTTCTTTTTATAAATTAGTTGTTCTTACGTTGGGACATTTAAGTTAATATTGACGCAGTAACATCGTGTTAGAATTTTGTAAACGTTAGCTTTGTAATACACGTAATATTATTAGGTGCTGTAGTTATTTATACATATTTTTTTCTGTATGGCTCTACAGCCATTTGGATCTTGGCCGCTTTTTCAGTTTCTTAATCCTATACGCAGTCTGTAGGAGTCCTTGGACTGTGGATCAACCCGTCGCATGGCCGCTCCATACACATAAAACAACACAAACACAAAGTAAACACACACACACCCATGCCTCGAGTGGGATTCGAACCCACGACGTCAATTTTCGAGCTGGCGAAGATCGATCATACGTTAGACCAGGCCGCGCCATAGCTCAAGCGGTTAGTCGCTGGCTTGCCATCGCTGCGGCCCGGGTTCGATCCCGGGTCCGGGTCTGGTCAAGTGGGATTTGTGGTGGACAAAGTGGCGCTGGGGCAGGTTTTCTCCGAGTACATCGGTTTCCTCTGCCAATCTGCATTCCGCCAATTGCTCCACAATCACCCCCACCTATCATCTGGGACTGGTACAATAGGCCAGAAATGGCCGCAGTACAAGGGACTTAGTCCTATCCCACTAGCAATTAAAAAATGCCCTAGACCACGCGTCCACTATGATCGGTGGCATTTGTACATACGTAAATCTAATTATACTGCCACATGTATGAATGTGACTATAGACGGGGTTTGGATTGGTAATTGGATTTATTGAACACTTACAGATCGTAACTACAAGTTAATTGTAGCGCTATCACAAATTCACACACTCACCAAGTGTTATCAGTCTTCTGAATCTTCACCGGTCTTCGCCTGGTAACGGCTTCAACTCTGTAGATCTGTGTTCCCTTCCTATCCGGCCGCTTCCAAGTTAGTCCATTGGTGCGCGTAACTGGCGTTGTTTACAAGGTCATTGCTTAGCAACGGGTCTACAGGCTAACATTGCGTTACAATTAGCCATCGAGCAAGTTAGCTGAGGCGGTAAACGGACCTGACTTGTATTCTGGAGGTATGCAACATGAACTACCCCGAGCGAAGTTGCATGCGAAGCTGACCACTCACCTTTATCGATTGCTGAGGTCAAGAATGGTCTAGCTGTACCTCCACTCCCCCATTACATCTTTATGGCATGATAATTAATAAGCACATGACAACATGACCCGTATAGTTTTATCATCATCATTCGAAGTGCTAACCCGTAATTGGCTTCATAGTTGTTAATAAGTGACTTGAAGTATGTGGAAGTTGCATAATGAGGTTCGTAATTGTATTATTGTAATTGAATTATCACGTTAGGGAGGATGGCATGGATAGGGCATTTAGTACGCAAGGGGAGAAGTGCATTGCATACAAAGTTTTGGTCGGTAAGCCGTATGCAAAGAGAGAACTTGAAAGACGTAGGCGATGGTGGCAGGATAATATTAAAATGTCAAAAAGAGTAAAATATGTTGGGAGGTCGTATACTGGATTAATTTGGCTCAGAATAGGAACCAGCGTGAGGCTCTTGTGAACACGGTTGAGCGACTGTTAGCTTCTCGAGGGTGACGCTCTACTCCATGTTGATGTTATTAGTATTGTTACTGCCGTTTATTAAACAACGCTTTCAGTAGCTGGGTCGTGTAGAGTCGGATGGCAGGGTGATACATGAATTGGAAAATATTTGTAAAGAAGTGGTCGTGGCCGAGTCGACGTTCTTTGGACTGGGTTAGCTACGAAAAATCCCTAGGATGGCACCTGTCTCGGCCGAAATTCTGATCGATTACCCCCAAATACAAGTCTAAAGAGTTAATTGCCGATGTTATTGTTGTTGCCATTATTATTATTATTATTATTATTATTATTATTATTATTACTATTATTTTCCTTCAGGTCTGTTGCTCCGGCGTGTTCGAGCTGAGGTTGAAATCGTTTATCAACGACCGTGGGAAGGACAGTGCTGGTCAGTGCTGCAGTGGGACTCCATCCCAGGATTCCGGTGCCTGTTCCGGACCTTGTCGAACGAGATTCCGGGTCTGTCTGAAGCACTACCAGGCAAAGATCGATACAACCTCGCCGTGCACGTACGGGGACGTTATCACGCCAGTTCTGGGCGAAAACACCGTTCGTCTGGTTGGGTCCGCGCAGCAGGATGGATTCGCGAACCCCATCAGGTTCCCCTTTGACTTCGCCTGGCCGGTAAGTACCTCATGGTTTTTGTACAGGTAGTAGTGTTTAAAATATCTTCGTGGATGCGTGATTATCAGACGGTCGTGACCTGTATACTCTCCAACATTTTTGTGGTAAAAGAAAGTTGTCGCACTAAGGCGTGAAGGTGTCCACATTCTCTTGACCTCGGCACTAGCTGCAGGTGAGTGGTCACCTTTACCCCCCCCCCCCCCTGCCTTACTCCCGGGGAAAGAACCCCAGATACTCATTGGATAGAAGGGTTGGTGGACCCCAGAGCCTGTCTGGACGACGTGGAGAAGAGAGAAATCTTGACCCTATCGGGACTGGAACTCCGACCGTTCTGTCGCCCAGCCCGTAGCCAGTTGCTATACCGATCTACGACGTCCCGGCTGCAACATTTTTGAGGAGGAACTCAAAATCCCCGGTCAGGGTAGCGATGTGTGTGCATAGATTTTGACCCTGCACCTGGGATAGCGGATGACCACTCACCTCCAGCTAGTGCCGAGGTCAAGGAAATGTGGATTTATAGATCCACTCCCCCATACGCCTTCATGGCGTAGCGATTAATTAGTTAAGCACAGGGACAACTTTACCTTACAGACCAAAAAACGAAATGGGATGCTCACCACCTTAATGCCACATTCTTCATGGAAACACAGAATGTCAGTTGAGCAATACGAAACAGCAAGACAGAATGTACGTACGTTAAATGATCCCCCCCCCGAGCTGTTTAAAATGAGAAGGTTAATGTAATGGTAACGTTTTTGATTTGTGTTCGAGAAGCCTACGGTTATAATTTCAAGGGGCTTGGCGCCAAACGAATTGATGGACAGTAATCCGCCAATCGTAAGGTAACTCTGACTCTAATTAGCAGCCGCTACCTGGCAAGGACTATTGAAGAGACAGAAGACTTGATATGCGCTGCAGTGTGTAAATCAGTGTGCCTGTTAAAGTTATTAATACCTGTAGTTTAGAGTTGTAAGCGTTGTAATTCAGTTATATAATTATGAATCCAGACCCCAGTGTCTAGTCACTTACACGCGAAAATATGTTATGGAAATAATGTTTCCAGTGGTCCAAGAGTAATGGTGACACCTCTGTGCTTTGCCTGAAAGCCGTACTAAACTTACGTGTTAACTCTGACTGTGAGCAAAAGTATGAAGGGTGGAAGGCAAATGGGAAAACGAGGGGGAGGACTAACTGATTGACAGGCATGTAACTCTTTCATTCTTGGATATCTACGTAACCATTATTACAAAAAAAGAAACTTTTTTTTTCATCACTTTGGAATCCTTTCTTGGAATAACAACAAAAAAAGAAAAAGATGTTAGACAAGGTTTCTATTTGGTCGACTGAAACCATTTCGTAGTCTTAAGGTTACTTGTGTGTGGGTTTTTTTGTTAATTCTTTTTTATTTCTTTTCTGTCTTAAAGAATTTAATCTGTTTGCACATCGTGTTAGTAATTGTGTGCGTCTCTTTGTGAAAAATAAAGAAAGACAGGCAATGGTGGAGGATTGAGGTGTAGAGCAGAAAAGAATGTATTCAAGACTCTCCTTCCTTGGCCTCTCAAAACCAGTGGAACTCGGAATACGTACAGTAGTCCAGTGTTCAGAACGCCGCATAGCGAGTTAACCAGAAACTACTATCAGAACAAAAGCGTTCACAGATTAATTAGGGACAGCGGTTTAAATATGTTCTTTTTAAAGTTTGAAGTTGGACCCCAAGTCATTAGTTGCCTTGGGAACTTTACAGTTGTCAGTGAATTTCGTTAACACCCAAAATTTTAATTTCATTTCCTAATTTTTCAAATTCTCTGCAGTAATAAAGTAATACACGAGTTGGGTTAACTGATAGATTATCGCTATTTCTAGTGATGTACTTCAGACCAAGGAGAATGTGTCGTGTCATGTCATTTCTCTGATACTCGTATTTTGAAACGAGGAAAGTGCCACTAGAGTCTAACGGGTTCTGAGGATAGTGTCAAACATTCGAAATTACTGCGTGTTTGGACTTTGTCCATCGTCCGGTGATAGAGGTTAGTTCTTAGAGGACCTGAAGACGGAGACAGATCCAGTTTCCGAAACGTTTTGTATTTTAAAATACAGGACGATGGACAAAGTCCAAAAACTCACTGATTCGAATTGTTGCAAATATATTATTTACACGAGAGAAAGTCGTGAAATTATTAGGGTTTTCTTTTTGTGAAAATGTATGTTCTGTCTGTAATGGGAAAACTATTCGTCATCGTCAGTTAGTGACGTACACTATTACGTAATCTTCAAGAGTACTGGATTCTATTTTCAACATACGTCCGGTGGTAAATTCAGCCATATTACGGAGAACTTTTATTCCGTAAGGTTGCTTACACAAGAGCCAGGATAGCTCAGTCTGTATAGCGACTGGGTACGGGCTGGACGACTGAGGGGCCAGAGTTCGAGTCCCGGTAGGGGCAAGAATTTTCTCTTTCCACGTCGTTCAGACCGGCTCTGTGGCTCACCCAGCCCCTTATCCAGTGTGTACCGGTTGATCTTTCCCCTGGAATAAAGCGGCCGGGGCATGAAACTGACCACTCACCTCCACCTAGTACCTAGGTCAAGAACATGTTGGTCTACACGTGTATACATCCACTCCCCCATACGGCTTTATGGCGTATTGCTTAATTCATTAAGCGCAGGGTCAACTTTGCTTACACAGAGTACGATGTAACCTGGTTCATTGGGCGGATGAACTGCAGCAACAAAATTTTGTCAACAGTGCTTTTTTCTTTGCCGGTACGCATAACGGCAAACTTGGGAGGTATGTTGCCGGTACGTTGTACGTTTGAACCTCGAGGCCAGTTGCAGTCGAGCATGGGACTACCGGCAGGCAGGTTTTCAGAAAGAGAACCGCCCCTTGTTACCATTCATTATCTCATATACGAAGCATCGCTAAACAGTTCACGAATAGGAGCTGAGGTTCTCACAGCGGTGGTCATTAGGAGTTCTGTCCTCTGGGGTATAGCGCTATGTAGGAGCTGAGGGTCTCACAGCGGTGGTTATGAAGAATTCTGTCTTCTGGGATATAGCGCTGTGTAGGAGCTGAGGTTCTCACAGCGGTGGTCATAGGAGTTCTGTCCTCTGGGGTATAGCGCTATGTAGGAGCTGAGGGTCTCACAGCGGTGGTTATGAAGAATTCTGTCTTCTGGGATATAGCGCTGTGTAGGTGCTGAGGTTCTCACAGCA